TTCAGAACTTGTTGTAACTTTCCCCTTCCCCTTTTTTTTTTTTTTTTTTGTACAGCTAATTTAAGGTACTCCTAAAGAAACTGGTAATTGACATTAATCTAATTGCATGGAACTAAAAACCTGTGCCCAAATGACGTAATAGACCCATACGGCTGAATTTTTACGCATTGATTCTTAGCTGGTACAGGAGTTAGATATTTCTTGGTAATTAATTTACTATACAAGCAAAAAGTAGTCAAACTGATTTAAGATCCAGTAGTAATAGCTAAGGAACAGGTCTTCAGGATAGACGTGGTGTACACAGGCAAGGTGTAAATTCGGAGTGACAGAAAAGAAGGGAGTGGGAAGAAAGGCTTCATTTATTATTCATGTTGTAAATGTCCTTGAAAAAGCAACCTTGATTATCACTAAAACTAGACAGGAAGTGTTTTCTTACTTTTTGCTTTGTATTGTACCTGCTGTCTAGGTTTCTGAGGCCTCTTTGAAAAGCCCTTGAAGAAATGCTGGTGATTCCTGTTAGATTGTGGGAAGGCAGGGAATGAAAACAGGCATTCAGGAGCAAACCCCCCTTAAACAGTGGCCGTTCCTTTCACTGTTACCATTGGAGATCTGCACTGGGTCTGCTTCTGAATTGCAGCTAACTGTTAGAGGGGCAGTTATTCCTCTTGAGCAGTTAGGTCAGAGTTCACAACAACGAGGCCGAACAACAGATAGCAGAATTACTTAATCATTTAAAGCAGTGGAAAATCCAGCCCTGCTTTTCTTTGGGAGACAAAGCCTGCAAACCCAAAGCTTTGTTAAGGTCAGGCTGCCTAGTTCCTTAAGTCAGTGTGGTTTTTCATCAAGCTGAATCTGGAACAGCATCTGTGAAAGTCGCTTGCCTTGCTGCTTGTCTGGGACTCAGAGAGTTACCGTGTTGTGAGTAATGGGGACGTGCTGGGCGTAACCTACCAGGGTCCTCTATAAAGCCTTTCAGAAATGACCCAGCTGAGGCTGGCAGTGTGTCCAGGGAGGGCGGTGGTAGCGGAGGGGTGGGACTCTAGCTGTGGCTCACACCTGAGTGGTGGTCAGCCTTTGGCAGAGAGGAGCACTGCTGATTTAGAAATACATATGCTTATTACCCAGCTTCTGGGAAGGCAACAAAAGAGGCTGAAGCTGAAACTTGTGCTTTAGCTTGGGACTTGGTAAAATGATCCATTCAAGTCTGGTATGGTTTGAACACACCCCTTTCATACTACCAAGGGATAGTTTCTCTCATCACTCAGTTCTCAAACTGGTAAAAATTATGTAGGCTACAAATACTAAATCTTTTGTCTTTCCTTCTCTAAAACAAGTGCTAATACGGTAAAAGTTTGGCCTAGTATGCAATTAGAGAAGCATGCTACGTAGCACTGGATGGCAATTCCTTTGCTTATCTAATCCTCCCCTCAGAGCTGAATTTCAGCGTATAAACTGTAAGCTGCATTCTGTAGGACATAGCCCGTGACTGTGTAGTGAAAAATGAAGGAAGACACTTAAAAAGAACACTTTTTTTATTATCATACTTAGGCTCAAATGACTTACAGGAACTCTCTTCCCCAAAGGTGCATCACAGCTTTCACAACAGTAACGTCTGCATACAGCTATTACCACTATGGCCGAAAAACAGTTCAGGTGATAAATAGTAAATGAAGTATTCCTGAAAGGACCGGATCTTGGCAGCGTGGTGTGCTGTACTGACGGAGATGGCTGTAGTGCAGCTGAGTGCTGGATCAAGAACTCTTCCTGGTTTTCCGCTTAAACCATGGCGTCACAATGCGGCGTAGTTTGAACATGTACTGTGTATATAGAGAGAGACTTTTCAATGTATTTTTAATTTGTTTGAAAATAAGGTTGTTTACAAAAAAAATCAAATAAATAATGCTCTTAAAGACACGGGTTACTGGTTGCTGCCATGTGCATTCTGAATAATTTTGTACTGTTTTTGAAGTCAAAATACGCACTTTTCACCAGCTTCTTTCCCATCTTTGTGCAAGGCATGGAGTCGGCTGAGATCTGACAACAAAAGGCAATTATAAAGGCAAATTTGTCTTTGTACCTCAACCTAAGTCAGAAAAGCAGCATTGCTCATTAGGACTGAATGATGTGCTTCAGCAGAAGAAAAGAGGAGAGCGGTGAATGGTGTCTTCGGACATGTAAACTGCAGTGATAGAGATTTTACTTCATATTCCATGGTAACACGGAGAAGCTGTGAAGAGTCATTACGTTGCTCCCTTTTCTTTTTAAATATGAGCAACAGTGAACTGTACTGCCCAGAGAAGAGTTTTGAGTCTCGGAAGGGTTGGCTGTGTGGGAAGAGTCTGTTACCTGAACAAAGCAGAGATTTCCATTCCTCATAGTTTCTGTCAATCACTAGACATGAATGTATCTCCTAAATCTCCAGGTTCTTTAAAGCTTCTGAAGAAGCTTAATCTAAGTACCATGGGAGAAAACTTTAAGTATTGTCTAAATGAATGGAATTTTTGAAAGAAACTTTTGGATGCGGGTACTGCTAATTCTTCCCGTGCCTCTAGCTTCAAGGGGTGTACGCTGTGAGCCTCCCCAGGCAAGGACAGCTTGCGTGTGTTCTGTGCCAGTTCTGTACCTGCAAAATTGGGCGTAATAAAGCCGTGGGCAGGGCAGATTGCGTCGGTCATAAACTCACGTCTTTTATTTTCGAGCAACGTGATCTTTCTTCTCTGTTATAAAAAGACTGCAGCTATGAAGGGCTTAAATAATTGAAACCAGGGGTACATGGTACTGTGTTATTAGCGGAAGAAAATTTGCTGTAGACATCTCTCTTGAGAGCACACAGTCTCTTTTGTGACTATTCTTGTATATAGAAAGCACTATATTTTTATATTTAAACTTGTGTAGAATCGTGTACAGAGAAAACACTGGATTTTTATCAGTAACTTTTTTTCCTAACTGTCCCTCCGTTTTGTGGTCTACCCTGCGTCTGACAGCGAAGGGACAGGGAGTAAAGTCCAGGGATGTTTCCTTAAGACACCTGAGTAGTGAAACGGGGTACTTGAAGAAGCAGTTTAGAAAGCAGAAATTTATTGTACCCAGTTAAGTCATGTTTGGTTCCGGTTAGTGGGTTTGGGGATTTTTGTTTGCTTCTCTTTTTCTAATCACAGATCCTTGGAAACGTGGCGTGACGTGGCGGTGGCACAGAAGAATCGTGGTCAGCGGCGGCTCTGAGTTGGTGTGTGTCGTTGTCACCGCCGGTGTTGGTAGTAACCTAAGTGTACAGGTACTCACTGTGTTAAATAAAATCCGTCTGGATGGTGGAGCCGCTGCTTTTTCCGCTGACGGGCGCCCGGCCGTTGGGATCCGCTTGCTAAGAGGGACGCAGCCCGGTGCGCGTGTCCCGGGCGCGGAGGGGCGGGCGCG